ATCTATTTCAGTAGTCTGAAACTCCAGTCCTTAAAAGTGACTCTCCTGAAACATTTGGATGCAATTCCGCTCAAATACACCTGAATCAGCAAAGACCTGGTCATTAACCATTCATTTGATTCAGATTTTTTGAGAGGGAATGCCTCTAAATATTGCAGGACAGTGGCACTCGAGGACTGAACCTTGATTTATTTAATAAATACTATTTAAATGTAGTAATTCTGATTGTGAATCAGATTTTATAGTGCTAAGAGTGTTGAAACATTGGACCTCTCAATGAGAAAGCTATAGTGAGAGTAATGATTCAGGCTGCTGTTACAAGCAGGTTTTATTTTAACAGAAGTCAATCAGGTACTGTGAGATTTAATCACTTATTTAACATTCAAGATAGTGCGCCCCAAGAGCTCATCTGTTGTACTTTTGGACGGGTTTAGAAACTGTGTCATTAAGTCTTGTGGCCATCTTCTATCAAACTTATCTTTCCGTCCCATTACTGGAGATCAATATGAGGGAGTAGGAGGTTAGGCTTGCCTGTTTTTATGGCCCCTGTTTAAACACTGGCATCACATAAATAGGAATTTGGCCAGGGAAGCTGAGCTGCAGAGGCGGCACTGAATAATGTGTTGGTAGTAGTTTAGGGCAGAGTTCTTTATCACCGGCTGTCTGGACCAACCACCTCAGCTGTGCTACAACTCACCAGAGTCCATCAGCTCACCCACTGCTTGTAATAGCAAAGGATACACCTCAGATGGCAGACAGTGCAACCTATCCACATTTCTATGAAAGTCTTTGGAAAGCTCCAAAGACTCTATGAGGAAGTCTTTGGAGCCCTTTGCCATTGCACACAAAGGAGTTTTACCTTTACAATAATGTGTGCGTGTGTGTGTGTGTGTGTGTGGAGGGGAATGAATGCTTGTGTGCATGTGTAGGCATGTGCGTGTGTGTGAGAGACTTGCGTGTGATGAATGACTGAGATACACAGGTTGTGCTGTGTTTTGCTCATGAGAACACACACTGGCATCGCTTCGGGAACAACAACCTGTTCAGCGCCTTCCAGAATGGGACGACACCCTTGCTGACCAATCACGCGCCTGAAAGTCACAGCAGACGGCGATCCAATGAGTTTTCGTCTTTTAAATGTGTATTTATGGAAATCCTCGTCAGTGATAGCAGCCCAGATTAGAGGTCAGATACCGGGAAGGCATGCTACTGCAGGATAAGAATATTCACTCAAAAATAACAGCAACCGAAAGCAAAAAAATAAAAAATAACATTTTCATATTTCCACTCCAAGTGATCAAAGTGTATCAAATAATCAAATTTTAATAAATAAAGCCACATGTCTCCTTCTATCCAGCTCTTAAGGGAGAAAATCTTTAACCCCAAAAAATGTTCAAGAAATGATGTCACTCGGAGAAGCACAAAAATAAGCTAAGTAAGTTTATATTTAAAAAAAGGAGCTAAGTCTTGAGTAGAGTGAGAAAATTCTCCTGTCTGCCATGTGATCTTACAAAATTAAAATACAGAAATGTTTCTAATTGACATAAAAACCATCTCGGGAAGATTTTGTTAGTTTGTTGGTGTCCAACAAAATAAATCTAAGCTGTGATTACGACTTCAAACCATGAAGGTGTGCTCTGTATAGTCTCACTGTGTTTGAAATGTTAAATTTTTCAACAAAAACTACAAAACAACTACAAAAAAAGGAAGTAGTTGTTGAATTGTCATGCTGTTTATAATTGACTAATAAAGTCTTCTGAAGAGGCTTTCTAACAGCACTCTAGATGGTAGAGAGAAGAAACGATGAAATGACAGAAAGAACAGAAATCATTTATAAATTCTGTGAAAGGCGAAGCACAAAGGCGGCATCAGACTTTCGATGAACCCACACTGACCGCATCTGGTTGGCGGCCAATAGAACATCAATAGAAAATCCAGAATTGTAGCTGTAGTTGTTTTCATAGTTATTCTTCAATGAAAAAGAAAGATTAATTTTTGACGCTGAAAAATAAATATATATAAAAAATGATACCTAGTCATATAAATATTTTAGGTTTTGAAATATAGATGAGTGAATGTAGTCCAGATTTCTTCAAGAACGACAATTTAACCTTTTATTTAGACAGCTCAGTCAGAGATTCTTGCTCTTGTAACATTCACTTTGCTTAAAATGTACACAAAACATCAGTGACGCCCACATTGCAATGACCTCCCATGACTAAAAGCAAGATAAAAGTTATTTAGGACACAGTTTTACAGCCATAACTTTTCACAGTTAGAAATATCATTTTGCCGCTCCACATGCCATGCCACCCTGAGTGGGAAACCATGTCACCCCTATGAAAAAACATTTCCAGCAATTTTTATCCCTGCATGTGATCCTCAACCCAAAGCTGCTGTAAAATTAGACGCTTGGTTAATGTTGGGTGTTTATTACAATCTGTCTGAATACCTGGAGTTTAAGTGACCATTTATTTTTTTTTAATTGACAAATTTCATTCTTCTGAAGATCACGAATAATCAAAATTTGATGGCAACTCAGGGTTCCTCTCTTAAAAACTTGTGTGAAGATGTAAAAAGCTTCCGACCGATAAGGAAGATCATCAAATTATGTAACAAATAGGACCAATGAAAGGTATATTTGATGGAAAATAAATAGTTTTATCATAGAACAAAACAAGCCAACACTTCAGAGGAAACAGATGCTACAGGAAAGTCTTGGTGACAGTATTACTGTAATTCTATCCAAGTATTTCCCGTCTGTGCACAGCAAACTGAATCTGTATGAAAAAGATTGTTTGTGGCAGCAGATGCCCTGCTCAGGTCGTGACACCCGGCACTTTCTCGTGATGAGACGGCCCTATTGGTTTCTCACCATTGGGGCGACTAACGCGTGTGTCTGCTTACTTCACTTCACTTCACTCTGAGTAACCGCTCTTTTCTGCTGTCTGGCATCTGCTCCTTATTCTCCTGTTTCTTGCTCGTCTCGTCCTTTTTACCTTTCAGCTGAACATCTCTGCTAAATCCTTCACAGATATCAACATTTTCAGAAGCTTCTTGACCTTGGCAGCCTCCCTTCTCTGTCTCTCCTCTTTCTCACTCTCACTCTGACCCTGCAGCAATTATGACTATCCAGGTTGATGAGCAACAGTGCATTTCTAGAGTGCCGTGAATGAGTGGAAGTAAATGCTGACCATTTATTTATCATAACAGGACTAGAAACATCTCTGACAAGCTGCTGCCGACTTGGCATTGGGTGGAAAAACTTGAGCAAAAACTGCTCCCCTTTATGGTTTCACTGCTCTGACTTTAAAGTCAAATAAAAATACAGAACAACATCTAACTGAATTTAGTAAAGAAATAAAGAAAAGCTGGTTATTCTTATCAATTCGAGATGATCATCATTTTTATAGTAATGTTATTAAGTACACCAAATCATCTCAAGCTTATTTAATCAAGGACAGCACAGTAAACAAGGTTACATGATAAAAACAAAGCAAGCGTTGTTTTGTACGAAGGTTTTCTAGCTGCAGGCTCATTTGTAAACTCAGTCCTTGGCTGGCTTTTTAAAAGAAAGATTCCTGTCACACACGTGCATGGACACACACCACGCACACACACACACACACACACACACACACACCCACACACACACACACACACACACACACACACACACACACACACGCACACACACACACCCAAACACACACACATTTGCGTGGCTATCTTTGTGGGGACTTTCCATTGATTTTCATTCATTTATAAACAGCCTAAACCTTTAACTGAACCTCGAGATTCAACACCTGCTTGATTTAATATTAGTGTTTAACTAAATGATTGTTAAGCCTTTGCTGCAGCTTTACTACACTGTTAAATTGATCAGGAGCTCTCCTTTGGAGGTATTTTCAGTCAACAGAGTTGTCAGAATTGTTTGTGAAGAACACCATAATCTTCTTAAAGCCAGCTGACTGGCAGAGTGCAACAACAGGTGACATATTGCTCAGTTTCTTGGCTAGAGAAAGCTGGTCAATGTGACACCCTGGCTATGGTCTGGTGTCTCTGGCCTCCTATCAAACAGATCTGAGCCACAGAAACAATGAGTCGGTAGATCCACCTGGCAACAGCCTCATGCCCATTGGTTTAATAATCTTTCATGAACTCTCAAAGTCACTTTAGGTTCATAACATGCCTCAAAATTCACATAGAGGATGAATATAATCCTGTATATTTGAAAACTCCCATAACCAGAGGAAATCAGTGACTTTTGGGAACTGATTTAAACTACAAAGTCAGCTTCTTGTGAACTTTAGCTGAACCTGTGGTGTCATAGACGTCCTTAAAATACCTTCTGCAATAAGTCATTTGCTCAGTGTAACAGTTTCATTATATTTACTGGGTGGATTTTCCTCTGAAGCTAAAACGTTCATGAATAATTGCCGAACGATTTATACGGACTAAAATACAAGACATCTTTGCATGTAGCAGGATGCATAAATCATAACTGCAGTGACCGTGCATTGACTCATTTTTTTAGCTCCAGAAACTGACTTCATTTGATACACTGGGGAGAGAAGGTGGGGGTTGGGACGAATGCTCTAATAAACTGTGACAAGATGCATGTTGAACACAGAGGCTTTGAAAGCTGCTGAGGAACCAGATAGAAAACATACAGAGCTTTCGCTATGAGAAATGAAACGTGTGAATGCAGGCGCGCTGAGCGTATCAGAGGAGATGTCTTCACACTGCTCTATGTCCCCTGACATTCAGAGCCTGTCTGTGGACCAATACTGTCTCTCACGGATGCATAAACATCCCATCAAGTCACTTGGGGGATTTAACGAGGCTAAAGCAACAATCAGAGACTCTGAACCAGAAATCACTGACCAGCACCAATAAATGACTTGTTCTTCTATAACAATGATTTCACATTGTGATAGAAATCAGACTGGTTCATTTTGAAAGCCATACTCATACCTGGTGCTCTGCTAATCACTCACCTTCCAATCATAGTAGAGTGCTGCTGCACGGCAGCCTCCAGGAGGCGCTCTAGGATGGTCCATTCTCCCATGGTCAGAGCTAGAAGGCATCCACTGGGTCGAGGAAATCAGGAATGACACCCCAGTGGGCTTCCCAGCCAGCAGGAGAACAAGCAGCGCTGGTGATAAAGTGCTCAAAGTCCACTTGTTGTGCAGAGATGAGGTAGCGAGTGGCTTCCGGTGGATCTCCAGGTGTGAAGGAGCCTGAAAAGTCAGCGACACATCACTTGTGTTCTGCCTTTCTTCAAAGACACACACTCTTACAGCTCGTCCCCGCTCCTAGATGGCAGGACTGTGCGCGTCGCACACAAACACACACAGTCCTAATATCTATGCAATCCGCTGCCAACTCACTTTGCACGTGAGTGTGTTTCCCCCCCTTTCCTCCCTGCTTCTGCTCTGGCGACTCCTGGTCTCCGTTCACTTCCCAAACATCTGCCTGGCCATATGTTCCCTCACACACACCTGGATAAGAGGAGAGCGCGGCTTTCATCTACTCCTGCTCAGTTTGCAGAAGCAGCGGTGCGTGCAGGCGGACATCCATCACCAACACTCCGCGCTTTCACGCTGGTTCTTTGACAGCATCTTGAAGTAGTAAGTTTGGTCAGGCTCGGCTCCACGCGTTCACGCGAGCTGGGCTGCTGGAGGATCTGCTTGATTGCCTGTGATTCTCTCCTCCATTCTCTTCGTCGCTCTTCTTCTCCAGGGCTTCTCTCGATCTGCTCTTTTTATTATTATTCTACTTTCTTCTCTCGAGGGTTTCCCTTCCGTTCGCGCTCCCTCCTGTTGCGCCTTCGCACTCTCCTGGTTTGGTTCAGGGACAGCAGGACTGAAGCATCGTGCTCCTCCTCAGGCTCCTTCCTCCCGCTCAGAGACTTGCATGCCTCTCTGGCTCTCCCCCTCCGTCTCAGCGTGCAGCATGCAGGGAGGCAGTGCTGCTTTCTTCTCTTTCCTTCATCTCGCTTTTTCTCCCCCTCCTTGTCCCCTCTTGGTTTCTCTCCGTTTGCCTTCACCTGCCTCCGTCCCCCTCTTCCTCTCTGAGCCAGGAGGCAGCCAGACCGAGCGTGTGTCTAGAGGATTAGAGGGGAATCATCTCTCTGCTCCTCCCCCCCTCTCGCTCCCTCTCACTCGCTCTCCATCACCGTGTTTATCCCCCCTCCTCTTCCCCTCTCTATCCTCTTTATCTGTCTGTGCTCCACCACCGTCTACAGCACAAAAAAAAATTTTTTTTGCTCCTCTCTCTCATAGCAAACAGTTCCCTGCTCCCTCCATCTATGGGTTTGTCATCCTCTTTGCTTTGCACACCGAGCACCTGCTGGAAGTGACAGGCCGATCGTTGCTGCTTACTCACACACTCTCATTCACACCGAGCCGTGAGAGGCAGCGCTGTGTCGAGGCTCTGCAAGGATACTGAGCTTACACTGGGGAGTGTGTGTGTGACAGTCAGAACGTGAAGGAATCGGTGTTTGCGTGTGTGTGTGTGTGTGTGTGTGTGTGTGTGTGTGTGTGTGTGTGTGTGTGTGTGTGTGTGTGTGTGTGTGTGTGTGTGTGTGTGTGTGCACGATGGAAAGTTAGTTAATGCCAGTCATTAAAATGAGCGTAAATTCTGCAAGAAAAAACAATCATGCATGAATCCACTTCGAGGTATCATTAATTCAGTCTGCCAATATAACAATGTAATGACTCTTTAGTCAATAAAAAGTCATTGCATAGGGAGCACTTTGCACAAAGTCACACTATTCACCTCAGTTGAGGCCATAATGCGCGTTTCTGTCCTTTTCTGTTCAAAACAGATGTTTCCAGCTTCTGCAGAAAAACAATGCTTAGGTTCCTACTGCAATGTTCTTTATAGATATAACCAGACCCGACAAAAACCGAGTTTAGCTAGAATACATTTGATTAATAACAACTTCATCACACAAATTGTAAGAAAATACAACATTTTTGGCCTCAGAACTTTCTGCAATAAAAGGGAAACAAATAGAAAGCAATAAGGATCTTAAACTCCAACTTTACCTTTGGTCTTTTAGTTGCTGGTTTTGTTAAGAAAACCAGAGGCTTATTTCCATCAGAGTCCCTCGATATTAATAGTTTTTAACATTTGAATGTTTTTTTTAATCTGAAACCAAGGGACAGGAGCATTTTTCTAAATATGTATCTTCATAATTTGCTAAATGTTTAACAAACAAAAGAAATAAACCTCTTATACAACAGTTAAATTATGCGTAATCCCAGAATAATTGATATTTTAAGCAGTTTAAGGCCATTTTATAATTTTGCCAGTATGTTTCTTCTGACAGTTTTCTGATTTGAGTCTCTTCGGGGGAAGCAAATAATTAGGATTATGGCAAGAAGGCCTTCCAACCTCTAATAAAATATTGCCAAAGATCACCATACAAGAAGAAACATGCAAAAATCTGATCAAACCTATAAGAAGGGTTTCATTTCTGTGATGCCAGAAGATCTTTACAGCTGTTTTCAAGAAATAATGAGTAAATATTTGAATTTTACTGACTAATGATTATTTTAACAATTAATACACCTTTCACATTGTTTATTATCTTTTAAAAATTCCTGACTTTCTATCAGAAACCAATTTCTTGGTTCAATAAAATATTTTTCATTCACATGGTGTGAATAATTCAGGTCTTATACTGTACATTGGCATGAAATGGGAAAAAAAATCATAAAATAGCAGCATGCTGGAACAGAATCCAGGGCTCAAATTGATGAATGTACCCCGAAGAAATGTCAACTAGAAAATAATGACTTAAAGACCACAGCAAACACAAGTCTACCCAATACATGGCAGCTCTATTATTTTTTACTGCCAAATTAAGTGCTATTAGCAATGATAAGTCTCCTTGTCAACACCATTTTTAGGTCCTGCGAAGCAGGCGTAATGAAGTATCAAAATTAGAATAAATGTGTTTCTGCTTGCAGTTTAATCACACACTCATCATTTGCGCAAAGGGGCCTAATTATGTGAAGGTTATCTTGTGTTTGGGATGTCAGGATTGTTTTGTCCTGCAGCACAAAGCTCATTGTGTTCACGTGCCTTTGCGTGTGCCGCACTACTCAATATGTGGGTGAGAAGGTGAGGGAGGAGAGGTAACAATAAGGCTGCAGCTTTGAAGAGCCTATTAAGCTTACACGCTGAATACTTATCGTTTGCAAATGCAGAGGTTACAGTCACACTCATTGTTCTCCTCTGTGCTGATCTGCTGACTGTTTTGTGGTGGCTTCCTTCGTCACTCGCGGCTTCTCAGACTGGAGGGATAGTAATCTATTCCGTAATGAGCGACTGCACACGCACGTAATCTGGTCTGGCCCATGCCAAGACAATCTGGCTGTACCGCGCCTCACACGTGAGGAGAGGAAGGCAAAACGGAGTGAGGAATAAAGAGAGATGGGGGAGAAAATGAAAACATCTTTCCTGCAACAATACAGTAGGATATTTAACCAAACCTATGTCTTTTTAAGGGAATGAAAGTCTCTGTCAAAAATTATGTTTTTTATTATCTAGGAGTTTTTGTTGGTTATGTTAAGACTTTTGAAGACTTTCACACGAACATCCTGAAATATTGCTGCTAAGGTTACATTGTGATTCCCAGGCAAAGCCAGGAGGAAGTTAGATCTCTCTATAGATGCATCAAACTGGATGATCTGCCTCATCCAGATTATACAGACACTTAAATCATCTGCTTGTATTTGTTGGAAAAGGCCACACATGAACATCTGCAGACACCACAGACCCATATTTAGTATTATCCTTTTTAGATCCAGCATGGCCGTTGCCTTCCCACACATTTCCACTCAGTCATCATATTCCCTCTCTGCTCTGTCAGGGATTTCTCCCATTGCGCTAAATTTCTCTGGTAGTTTTATCCTGGAAGGAAAAATTGTGAATGATGTTGATTTTCTGCGCTGTTTGGGAATTGTAGCCTGCCTGTAGCTTTAGCAATGGCAGTGGGGGAAGATAGCCCCCACTATCAGTCCATGTTGGCCACACTGTGGACTACAGAAGGTCCAGGAGGACGGGTCACACTCCCCTTCTCATAGATGGAGAAGAGGTGGAGCGTGTGGACAGCATCAAGTTCCTGGGCCTCCACATCACGTCTGACCTCTCCTGGAATACCAACACCTCCCACCTGGTGAAGAAAGCACAACAAAGGCTCTTCTTCCTCAGGAAACTGAGACGGGCTGGACTTTCCTCACGGCTGCTCGTGAACTTTTACAGGGCGACGATCGAGAGCGTCCTCTGCCTCAACGTGACTGTGTGGTATGGTGGCTGCACAGCACTGGAGAGGAAACAACTGACACGGGTGGTGAGAACAGCACAAGGCATTGTGGGATCCCCCTCCCGGACCTGGACTCTATTTACATAGGCCGGGTCAAGAAGAGAGCTGGATCCATAGCCGTGGATTCCAGCCACCCGGGCCATAGACTGTTTGTGCCGCTGCCATCAGGCAAGCGGTTCAGGAATATACGGACTACAACAAACAGACTGAGAAACAGTTTCTTCCCCACAGCCGTCAGAGCCATTACTCCCTGCCGCCCCCTCCCACACATATCATAACCTCACATACCCCCCCCCCACACAGCCATTGCACTTGCACTGTCACATCATCTGCACTTTACCATAATTGGACCTGCTGCTTCTTCTTTGGTGTGGTTGAGTGCCTTTAGTTAATTTTAGTTGTATATATTGTGTGTTTGTTTATTTAATATTGTTTTGACTTTTTGCACGGGAGTTGCAATAGAAATTTCGTTGAATCCTGTTCAATGACAATAAATGCTATTCTATTCTATTCTATTCTATTCTATAGAGCAATTAAAAGCGGCGCAAGACGAATATATGAGACATTTTATAGCTGGCACATAACATACACCACAGCAATTGGGTAAAATTTTAAACTTCAACTGTCTGCACGTCCAATAACCGAGGGTCTGGAGTCTAGACCAGTGGTCTCAAACTCCAGTCCTTAAGGGCTGGTGTCCTGCAACTTTTAGATGTCACTGTGCTCCAATATTTTTTCAATATAAAAAAAGTAAAAAAAAAAAAAAAATGGAAACCTATGTCCAACCAATAACAGTTTTTAAAAATGCTTGTTTGGTCATGCATTATGATTTTCGAGCTGGGCGTCTGCTCTGGTATCCTCCCATTGTGATATGCCTGGAAAACAGTTAAAGATTTCAGGATCCAGGATTCATCCTAATAAGATGCTCTGCACCACCTCAGCAGACATTTTGATGTAGATGAGCAGCAGCTATTCAGCCACAGAGATAAACTGAATATCTTCAGTTTGTCTCTAAGGCTGAATCCATGCGCCCTAAAGGGAGCTCGTTTAAACCAGCTCTATTCGCATTCTGATTCTCTCAGCCACGATCCATATTTAATGAAACAAAATGACATCATCGTTGTGCAGTGCTTTTCAGGACCCTCACAGACACTTTACAATGCAGGCTGGAATGAAGACAGATTGGTAAATCAGTCATGCTACTTTTTTGGCTCAGCTCTTTCTTCACCAGAAATGACTCCACAACCGATCCATCTTCCGCTCCATCTGCAAAAACATCAATTCTTACTGTGTATTTTTATCTCGACTCTACACTCAAAATAAGACAAAAGTAACTATTCAGAAAGGTATAAGAGTTTGTTATTCGTGAATATATAAACAAAACTCTTGGTATTGATGATGCATTTTTAGACAAACTGATAGAGTTTGTCTTTTTTTTTCATTTACCAGGAAAAATGTCCTGCTTAAAGTTAAAAAAAATCTGCCAATGAAACTAGTACTTCCCCCCGTCTATATAGAAGAATTGCTGACAAGCCTATATATCTTGCTGAAAAGTTACTTTTAAGTTAGTTTTGCATCATTTCAAGTGTGCTAATACATTTGGAGTAGAAACTAGAGTGAAATACCGGGTAATATTTAGTGTTTTTGCTGTTTCAGTACCAAATACTGGAAACTGGGTTTAAAAAAAAAGTAGTTAATCCACCACCAGGTAATGTGCTCCACAAGTCAGTAGATTTAATCACAAAGCTTTGGATGC